AACTTAAAAATCATTTGAGAAACTTCTGAACTCCTTTCTTTGGAATAGATAGAAGTCTTGAATTGAAAAACAAAAGACCTGTTTATGAACAAAAGGATTTCTTTGGAATTTTCTAAGTTGTCTCAATTTGTCAATCTCTCCCCGCACAGTATCACAAAGCAGTAAACACAAAAGGCTTTTATTGCTACACAGACTTCTTTGAGCAAAAAACCATGGAATGCAAACCTCCACAGAGGAGGGAGGGCTGGGGACAGACGGTCAAGGGCAGGGAGGGTCTCCAGAGGCTCACAGCAATTCGGGATGGAGGAAACATGATTTTTCTTACAACTGGCCACTGATGCCCCTTGAAGCCACATTTTGTCTTACTGAGGTGTTCAACGGTGCCTTTTACAAAGTAATTTAACTACTAAGCAGGAGGGCGGAGAAACAAGATTTAGTGAAAAAAGAACCATGCTGACTAATAATGTTGCCCATATTAAGCTCTGTATTTTCTCTGAGTCAGAGTTTGGGTCATGTAAAAGTAAAACTGGCCCTAGAGAAGAGAACCGTTTCTCACAGATTGCCATTTAAACCTCAAATGACCATGTTTCACAGCAGGCTCAAATCATTCCAGCATGTAACTGCCTTTTAATTTCCTAAAACCACAGGATATAAGACTGATTTCACATACTGTCTGGACTGTGATATTCAATACTGATAAAACTGTACTATTCTCTTGAAAGTTCCAAAAATTTAGCACATGAAAAAGGATCTTCATTTTCTTCGAAGCACTAATCTCAAAGAAATTTACTCCTGAGTTTTGTAAATGAATTCCGAACAACGAATATTAAGAGCTAAAGCTAGTACCATAAGAAATGTAACAACATGGGCGGGGGGCAAATGTAATTTACTGGATTACAGGAAAAGAACATGCAATCTATTCATCACTCACCAGGATGTAGTATGTTCTTGGCAAAAATGGCCGTTTTGAGACTTAAAAATCTTCTTTGCCATGAAATGCTCATTAGGGCTTATTTGGAAAATCATTTTGAAATCTGCTAACATGAATGAATATTTACTTGAATGTCCATTCAGTGCATGGAAATTATTCAGCTACCTTCTCAACTTTATAAAACTAGGAGAACTTGGGATCTCTCTAATCACCAAGCATTAGATAAGAGAAGCAACATTTAAAATAGATCAAGAAGAAAAAAGAGAAGGTGAAGGAAATAGTGTCGTAAGTTTGGGAGTTAGAAATAAATTTAAGATCATAATACTACTCTGTTGGAAGGAACTTATGAAGATAAACTATTATGTGTGAATATGCAATATTTCAATAAGATGTTCAGCAGTTTTCACCATAAGGTCTGACCCGACCTTGAGAAAAGCTATGAGGAAGATTTTTTTTTTTTTGAGGGGAGAGAGGAGAGTCGATAACTATATGCTTTCCTCCGTAATACTATTGCCCCTGGCCTAACTCCAAAACTGATTGACACATTTAATGTTTGTTTTTAAGCAACACATCTGTTTAATCAATGAGGTGCAACTTTACTTAGAATGAAATGATAAGATTCTGATTAATAATAAAGTCCTGGTTATTCTATGAAACCTAAATACCTAGGAAACCTGGGGCTAACCCCAGGCTGCCTGGCATATGAGTTGGCTGGGTCCTGATGGCCACCCGTCATCAGATTCTAAGGTACCATTATGCATAGGAAGGAGCCACTCTTGATTTCATAACTGCTTTTCAAGGAGATAACAAAATACAACATTACATGAACTAGTTTTTTTAAATAAGAAAAATGATTTGTGGAAAAACGCACAACTCAGAACTGAAGAAATGACTACATTCCTTTCTATGCCCCCTTATCTTTGATTTGCTCTTTTTCCATTTACACTTTTCCCCTCCCCCCGACTCTCCATTTCTCTTTCCTTCTTTTTTTTTTTCCAAACTTAGACCACAGGTGGTAAGTAGAAAAATGCTTATATTCTTAAGAAATATGTATCAGGCATCTCCTCTATGGTGGGTTCTGTGAGGACTCAAAGCTCCATTAAGCACAATTCAGAACATAAAGGAACTTCAGTCTGGGGGGGAAGACGCGTCAACATAATCCAACCCAACACAAGAGCATCAAAACTCGTGCCCGTTGCACAAAGCCACAGTCGGATGCCATGAGGATTAGGAGGGCTGTGTGGAGGACTGTTTTAAACTGTGAGTGGTACTTAGGCTACAGGGAGGTAAACAGAACTGCACATTTTTGCAGAGAGAGGGATCGCAGCAGGTAAAAGTAAATGCGGACAATGGCCTGTGGCATATATGGGATGCGGCATTCTAGTTTGGCTAACCACCACCAAAACAACAATGAGAGGGGGCTATTCTTAGCATGTCCGTCTTATTTTAATCCTCATTACAGCTCAGTAAGGTAGATCTTATTATTATATTAATTTTAAAGGTAAGGAATCTGAGGCCGGGGAGATTATTAAATTGCCTAAGGGCACGAAGTTTACCAGGTGATCATGGAGCCAAGATCTGAATGAGGAAGTCTGACTTCAGGGCTATACTTTTAATGTCTGTACATATTATTAGTATACAGAATATCCAAAGGGGAATAATGTGAAACAAAACATGGCTGGGGCTATCCTGGGCAGGAGGAGGAATAGGGAACAGAAAAGGAGACACACCAGGGATGTAAGAAGAAAGTCAAAGTATTGTCACAAAACTCACTGCAGCCTATTTGCCTCCATGAAAACCACTCTACAACATTAACCCGTTCGGTTGTCAATATCTCTATCTTCTCTACATTGACTAAATAATCAATCTACTGGACAATTTTTATGCACTATGACAGTTGTAAAAGAAGTGGATAATGATGTCAGGCCCTCAAAGCATGGAAAAATTAACCTAATGGGATAAGCCCGGTAAGTAGCATAAGCACGTGAGGTTTCTTAATTTTATGCCAAACTGTCAATGTGTGTGTGTGCCTGCATGATGTCTTCCTCTATCTTACACACATACATACATACACACACACACACACACACACACACACACACACACAAACACTCATGTGCACACTGCAATATATAAAAAGCTACCTGGTCCCTGTTAACAGCCATACACACATGGATTGTAAAATAAAGCCAATGATTTCCTCTGAGCTCTGCTCCAAACTTACCTGCTTCTGGGTCCTGGTTTAAACGGCAGTATTTGGAGTTTTCAAGTGAAGGCAGGCACTGTTCAATGGGTACCCAAACATATGTTTCAGGACACAACAAATCAGAAGGTCTATACTGACCCTAAAGAAGTAAAGGAAAAAGGCACAGGCATTACTAACACAGCAACTCCTGAGATACAGGGTTCCAGAGCTCCAGGAAAGGAACGTTTTCCTCCACAAACTTAAACAAAAGTCAACCAGAAATAGCTTTATTGTAAATACTAAGCAACCCTCTTAGTGATTGCTTTCCCATCTCAAGAATGCACATATTGACTTATGGCTCTCAAAAAGTAACACATCACCCTTTAGGACACCTGTGTTGACTTGGAAGATTGGAATTTTTTTTTTTTTTAGATTCTTGCTAAACTGACTGCTAAGAATAACCTAAGCTTCAAAATCAAGTTGTCTTTTAAATGCTAGTTAATAACAAAGTAATATTTCTTTTCAAATATTACAGCCCTGTGTAAAGTGGACTTATTTTCCAAAATGGAATTTCACTGTACTTGATTACAAATTTAAAAATTTGTGGTTAATCTGTAGACTCAGTTGACAAAATTCATTCCATTCTAATGTATTAAAAAGTATCATCTTATCAACATACTTCTACTGTAAGCAATCTAAACTGATAAATGTATAATAAAGTTTAAAAAACAGAAATTTCAGGGAAACATCTATAATAATCTGCTAAACTTTCCAAAAGATGCTAAAGGAAAAAAAATCATTCACTTATAGATAATGTGGTACATAATTAACAGAGAGGATGGCAGAAATTTTGTGAAAGCATTTAGTGAAATTTTTCATAAATACCAAGGTTTTATATCCTTTGAGCTTAATCAAAATCCCGAATGTCCCTTCTTTAAATTTTAAAATTCAAAATTCATTATAGAGGTTAAAATCTAGTACAGTGTTTCTAAATTTTTTTTTACTATAATCCACAATAAGAAATGCATTCTACATCACAACCTAGTAAACATATATGTAAATACAAAACTAGAAACGAAGCTTTCAGTATACAACGCTTACCCATGTTATGTTATATTCTATTTTGTTTCATTTTTTTTTAATGATGCTCTTGAACCACCCAAACTGCTTTCACAAACGGCAAATGGGCCACACCACAGAGTTTGAAAAATACCGTCTAGTGCAAAACCTATTACAAAAAATATTGCTGCCAGGCTCTGCACTGTCAGCTTGCTTTCATCAGAAAGGTGCTCTGCGATAAGCCTGCTAGGTGTCAGTCACTACACGAAGCATCGCAGATACACAATAATCACCACACTCCACCAGCACTCAAAGATCCAGAAGTCCATAAGCTAACGGGGAGGGAGGCTGGACATGAACAAAATGTGAGGAAACATTATTTCCCGCTTCAGTGGCTGGGAGAGGGTTCAAGGAAGACATGGAGTTTTACTGGGGACTTAAAAGTTTGACTGGATTAAGTCTCGGATAGGAAGAAAAGGAATGAAAACAATTTAGATAAAGGGAACAGTATAAACAAAGACAGAGCTGGACTAAGTAGAGGAGAACTCTGAGTCACAGGATAGAGCGGGGCACTGCAGCTCAGGAAAGGCAGGCTGGGATCAGATTCTGGGGGACCTCAAATATCATGTTTGGGTCTTTATTCTAGATGAAATGGAGAGAGGGAGAGTTTTGTCCTATATTCCAACAGGAGCAGGTAACAGGATGACGACCAGAACTCAGGTCTCCAACTCTAATTTTCTTGGAGCGTTCACTGTGTTGCGGATGCCTTACTGCCCTGCAGCAGTAAAAGGCCATCTACAAAGGGGCAGCTCCAGGTGGTGTATACACTTGTCTAACATTAAAATTCATAACACAGCATTATTTAGAAAAGAATTAATAATTTACTTAGGAAGTGTAATAACGCCAGATATTCCACTGCTATCTATCTTATCAAAAGTAATGTCATTCTCTCCATTAATTCAGAAACTGTTTTATTGGGGGAAAAGGACAGCATGATATGATACTGTCCACATTATTAACAAATCTGAAAAATTAGACAGTATCCCAAAGCAGTGGTTCTAAATCTTTTTTTTTCCTTCTTGGTTATAGATCATTTTGAAAATCCAAAGGGGGGAAAAAGGTAAATATAAAAGCTAAAGATATAAAACTTCTAAAAAAAAAAAAAAAAAAAAGGACAAACTTTTCCTGACCTTGGAGCATACAAAGATTTTTTAGTAAACTAAAAGCACTAACCATAAAAGAAAAAACTGATGAGCTGTACTTCATCAAAATTACACTGTCTTCAAAAAAAAAAAATTAAGAAAATAAACAGACAAGCCAAACACTGGGAGAAAATATTGACAAAACATTAGAGAACAGACTTGTATCCAAAACATACAAAGAATTTTAACAATCAATAATAAGAACACAAACGATTCAATTTTTTTTCTGAAAGGCAAATGATTTAAGCAATTCACCAAAGATATATGTTAAATAAATGCCTAATAAACACATGAAAAGATACTCAACATCATCAGTTACCAGAAATGCAAATTTAAACCATAACAAGTTACCACTGCGTATCCATTAGAATGCTTAAATTTAAAAACATGGAAAAAACACATTTTGGCAAGAATTTGGACCGTCTAGAACTTATATATTGCTTGTTTAAAATGATATAGCCACTTGATAAAATACAAATATTCTTGTACATACATCAGTTGTGAATGTGTCTAGGATAAATTCCTTAAATTGGAGTTATTGGGTAAAAGGGTTTTAACTTTTATAGTGCCAAATGATTTTCCATAGACACTCTGCCATTTTACATTTTTATCAGCAATGTTATGTTTCCAAGTTAATTTCCTCCACATCCTTACCAAACAGTACACTATCATAACTTTCAATCTTTGTCAATCTAAAAAGTGGCATTTCACTGTGGTTTGAACTTGTATTACATATCTTCCACATATTTAAGAAAATGTGTATTTTCTTTTTCATAAAGTTGGCCCATTTTGTTGTTAGACTGCTGGTCTTATTAACTGAAAGAACTCTTTATATATTAAGGAACTCTTTACATATTAAGGAACTCTTTACATATTAAACCCTTAGTCTGTAAAATATGTTGTATCTTTCAAGTTTATCTGTCTTTTGACTTTGTACATCACCTTATTTTGCCATATGGAAATTTGATATGTGATCAAATTTCTCATTTTTTAAAATGGTATCTGGATTTTGCCACATAATTGAAAAAAATCAAAGATTATTAAAAACATACTTTCATCGTTTTTTTCTAGTACATTTATGGTTTCATAATTTTACATTTACATTTATGCTCCATCTGAAATTTATTTTGTTATAAGGAATAAGAAAAGGATCCAACCTAGTTTCTTTCAGATGTTTACTCAGGGGTCTCAGTATCATTTTTTGAACAATCTTCATTTCCCCCGCTGATTTAAAATGCCTCTTTGAAAACTTACTGAATCCCCATATATACTGAGATCTCTTTCTGAGCTTTCTATTTATTCTGTTATACTGATCTGTCTATCTAGTCTTGTGCCACTGCCACACAGTTCTAACTATTAAAACTTTATATTACATTTTAATATCCGGTAGATCTCATTCCCCCTCATTACTCTCCATTTGCAGAATTTTTGGCTCTTTTTGCTTAACTGTTCTAGGATTCTGAATTTGGTACAAAAATACTACTAACACGAAAAAGGAAATAGTAATAAAAATGGAATAATGTATCTTGACTATTGTGATGGCAGAACATAAAAGAGAATCCCAAGAATGTCTAGCAAAAAAAAAAAACGTATGTATCATCTTATGTTAAAAACAAACTGAGACCCAAAACATACAAATGACACCGTTCCCTATTTTAAGGTGGAAATGTATGCCGGCCAGCTAACATGCACAAGTCAGGTACTGGGGGTGGATATGGGGGCAATCAGGCCTCAACTTTTGAGTCCTTAAGGTTAAAACAGACCCAGTTTTCCTTATTAACAGATTCCACGCAGATTCATCAACAGCCACCAGAACCCAGTGCCTGGATTTAACAATGACGCTGACAATCAAAAAAATTTAGTCAATGGACATTAAATAAATTCTCACTATGTGACAGGCACTAGATGCTGGGAACAAGACGAATCAATGTGTGCCTCTAGAAAATTCAGCATCTATTGGGAGTGACAGAGCTGTACAAAGATGAAGTACACATAAAATTATATTAAGTATGATAGTGGACAACCAGCCAAAGTTTCTAAATGTTCACAATGTTCTTTGAAGGTAATACCTGCTTATACAATGATATCTTGTTTTTAACTCTTTAAATACTTAGTTTATTTCACTGAAAGACCATAAATATATACATTTTAACTTCTGCTCATCATCTGAAATCAAATTTTTACAAGTTAAAACATTTTTCTCCTAAGTACAGCCTTATTTCATTGTTTAAATAATCTTGCAAGCCATCAAAGAATTCAGAGTTTTATGAAATAAACCACTTTGAAACGTTATGCTTTCTAAACTAAGCTGGTTGAGAGTTAAATGACAAAAGTGCTTAAAGCTCAATTTAAAGTCACTATCACACAAATGAAAAAAAGGGAGTTGAAAGCTATCCTGCCCTTTCAGCTAGTATAAGAAAATGAGAAATGTTTGTATTAAGAATGTAATTACTTAAGGATTTGGACATAGTTTCCCAAGGTCAGAAGAAAAAATATTTAATCAACCTCTAAGTACATTCATTCAGATTGGAACAATAAGGTAAAAGCAAATTAATTCTTTCCTAGGGTGCTGACTTTTTGTAAATAAGAAGAAATCTGAGTAACCACAGATTTCTAAAGTATTCAAAATTTTGAAAATGTAATTGGTCTGACAGGGCTTATCTCACAATTTTTTGGAAAGTTCTTTCAATTTGATCTACAGTTTTAGAAGGTGAGCTCTAGATTCCCTCTGTAACCCCTCAAAAAAGCCATCCAACAAGAACAAAATGAAATCTTACCCAGCAAAGGCCCCGATTTCAAGAGGGAAGGCTACCATAGCGGATAGCACAGCTCAAGGTAAGATGTCCAAAAAAGTTAAAAGCCAACTTTTAAAAATCCTAAATATAGGGGATGCTTAATT